ACANTTTTTGATATCTTGAATAGGTTTTTGAGATATAACGAAAGAAAAAAAGAATTAATTTACATATAAGGGGTTGATTCGTCCCTTTAAACCGTTTTTTAGCACCAACTGATAACTTCTAAATTCATTTATTTATGTGACCTTAAAGTGTACCAAGTTTCATTAAAATCAGAATTTGCCACTTCGCGAGGTTCTCTTGTTAGCCAAAAAACATTTTATCTATGTGTTTTGGAAAACTCAAAAGCTACAAGAATATGCAACGAAAAATGGAAATTCTATTTAAAAAATTCAAAGCGATCTTGTCCTGACCTTGACGACGCCACTCAAGGTCAAACCAATATTATCATCTTATGTCCCCCTCAAAGCCATACAACTTTTATCTGAAACATTTTTTTCTAAGATCAAAAATAAAAAGTTATTTGGGGTGGGACATTAAAATGGGACATCCTGTATACACTAACGGTCAAAAGTATGTACTTTTATTTTTGTATGTATTTCTTTTATAGGAAATAATTCCTTCTTAAATTCATTCTATTTCTACTATATTATTTTTATATACGAATGTAAAATTTTGAATCATCAAGATTATTATTAAGTCTCCAAATCTAGAAGATTAGAAAGAAAGATTGAAAAATCACTCTTCTTTAAACATCGCATTATTTAATTAAGGAAAACAAAATGGGCAAATACTTTTGAGCGATTGTATACCTACGTATCTCTCTCCAAATTCAGATACAAAATAAAGCCGTTTTTTAGCGATCAAAATGTGAAGAATATGCGTGACTAAATATGCATAATTATATTTACCATTAATATTACACTCAATACGCTCTTACAACTTCTATTCTACAACTTGCAGTCAAGCTGGTCAATACCTGTAGAACTAGTCATCGGACCGGACTTGGGTATATCTTACATGGCTCATCGGGGCGGAACTGTAGTAAGTTTTCATATTACACAGGCATTTTTTAAATTACATTATCTTTGTCATATAATTCTATGTAATTTTTTTAAGAAAAAAGTAGCATAATTCTATGACTAGTAAAATTTCGATTACAGCCAACGAGAATGGCAGAATTTTCGCAAATACAGTCCATCCAAACGTTGGTGTCGGATTGCAAAGAGCACGCGAAGGCGTGCATTAAACTGAGGGTCGCCGGTGCCGCGGAGACACTCAGTATTACTTGTTCCAGTCTGGATCAAGCGGAAAGCCTCGCGGATTTGATTGATGGCTACTGTAGATTGGTCACAGGCAGCAATACATCATTGTGGAACAGAAAAGGTAAGAATAAAAATATTATTGCGAGGCAAAAATCTAGTTAACTTTATTTATAACTTTTTCGACACTATTAAAAAAAAGATACACACGCAAAATGATCTTTAAACTACCTTATAAACACTTTTTCCATTAATGTTAATAAAATATATTAAATCCCTCTTTATTCTGTATTCGCAAGCTGGATCGTGGAAAAATTATCCCTGTCCATGCAAAGGTAAAATGAATCAGAAAGGTGCTGTTTTACATACGTTTCAATACTTTCAATATTTTATGAGAACGATACGATTTTATTTACACGCGCATGAAATACAATTTCAATTGTAGATGCACAACCGCCGAAATACAGGCAGGATGGTACCAGCAGTCCAGCGGAAAAGAACGCGGGTAAAACTGGGACTATCTTGTCCGAAGATTATGCGGAGATCGTCGACGAAGAAGGGGATTATTCGACGCCAGCTAGTAAGTACATGTCTTCATCGCTCACTTTATGTAAATGATCGTAAATGGAGATGTTATTGCAATTTTTATCACTAATGTATTATATCTTCTTTTTGTTCTTTTCTGAATGCATAACGGATATTTAAGCTGATTAACTTTCTTTGTAGCTCGAGATTATGAGATAGTTCGAAATCAAGTAGAATTAGGCGAAATCATAGGCGAGGGACAATTTGGTAACGTACATAAGGGTTCGTACAAAGGAAGGGATGGTCAAACTATCGCCGTTGCCGTCAAGACTTGCAAGGTCGATGCGGATCTTGCCACTGCCGAGAAATTCCTCGAGGAGGCTTGTACGGGAAATTTTAAATAAATCATATATATTCGTTATAAATAATAAAATAAAATAAATTTATAAACGTGCTTATAGATTCTCTCGAGAGCCTTAAGACAATAATTTCAAATTTCAGATATAATGCAACAGTTCGAGCATCCGCATATTATCAGATTAATCGGGGTCTGTTCAGAGGCGCCGATTTGGCTCGTGATGGAATTAGCCAGACTCGGAGAGATGCGCGCTTATCTGCAGTCAAATAAACACCGTCTGGACCTTGCCACACTTCTACTGTATACCTTCCAATTGAGCACTGCCCTCTCATATCTTGAAAGCAAGAAATTCGTGCACAGGTACACCTACAAACGAAATCCTCCTTGTTGTTTCATTATTGCGAACGTTGTAGTCATATCCTTGTAAATTAATCTTTTCATTGCAGAGACATCGCGGCAAGAAACGTGCTGGTTTCGTCGCACAACTGCGTCAAATTGGCGGACTTCGGCCTTAGTAGATGGGTGGAAGATCAGAGTTACTATACCGCGAGCAAATGTAAGCTGCCAATCAAATGGATGGCGCCGGAAAGCATAAACTTCCGAAGATTTACGACTTCGTCCGACGTTTGGATGTTTGGTTCGTTCTTCTTTTTTTTTCTTTTCTTCTAAGGCTAATTATTTTCCGTGAAAATTGCTCCTCTTTTAAAAGACACGCTAACGAAGTCCGATTATCGTTCCAGGTGTATGTATGTGGGAAATTTTGATGTTAGGCGTAAAACCATTCCAAGGCGTGAAGAATAACGAAGTGATACGCAAGCTGGAGAACGGAGAAAGACTCGCGCTTCCCAATCACTGTCCGCCACGATTATACTCTCTAATGTCTCAGTGTTGGAGCTACGAACCCAGCAAGAGACCGACGTTCAAAGAAATTAGAGAGACTTTACAGTGAGTATTGTAAGGCGTTGAACTGTAAACTTTATTCTTTACTTGAATATTATATGTTCTTTTAAATAATTACAGCGAGATTTTGTTAGAAGAAAAACATCAGCAGCAGGAGACGATGAGACGAGAGAACAGAAGGGTACAAGCCATGTCCTGGGGTATGTAGGAAATTATCTGTTATAACTGCGGCTGAAATTTTTTAGCGAAAAGCACACGCAAGTCATTTGATATATATATATATATATCGACTGTATCTATAAAATAATCCCTCTTTACAGGTGCAGACGATGTGCCGCCACCGAAACCCTCCCGGCAACCGCAAAGTACGACGGAGCAGTCGCAATTGTCCGCGGCGCCGGTGTCCACGTACATCGTCGCGCAAAGTCCCGAGGTGCTCGCGCAGCTACTCAAGGACAACCAAGCCAGAGGGGTATGTCCCTCCGTGTACACGACACCCGCGTCCCCCTTCAACACCCTGGCGGTGCAATTTCAGGACGAGGATCAAGTCCTGACCACCGCCCTAGTGTCCGACTTACCCTTCTTCGACCCCGCGCTCTCCGAACCGCCGTCCATCACCGCGCTCGACACCACCCAGTCGGGCGGTGACTCCACTCTCTCCGACACCAATCTGGACTCCCTCGATTCCACGGATAACACTCCCCTCATGTCGAGCCTGAGCATTTCAGACACGGCAGCGCAGACGCAGTCGCCCGCCGCCAACCGAAAGCAGCAGAAGGTTAAAGAGATGCAAAACTTGTACGCGGTTAGTTCGAAGGTGGTCAGTAGCAACACGGGGGGGGACCTGTACTCCCCCGTGCAGAAATTCTCCGTGTCCAGCGCCGTTCCGCCGCCGGCCGCGGCCGCGTCAGTCGCCCCGCCGTCGGCCGCGGTCGCGGGCAACACCTGCGGCGAGATATACGGACCGGTCGCTAGTTTCACCCAGAGCTCGGCTATCGTTGGTAATCTCAGTCAAAGCGCTAGCTTAGGTGGTAATTACGGTGAGAATCCCGGGAACTTCGGCCCTAGTAGTTTAGGCAGCAGTATTGTAATAACGAATAGTGGTAGCCAAGCGCAGTTCGCCGCGAGTGGCGGCCCGCATGCTCTCAGCCAGTCGATTAATTACGGCAGCTTCGTCGCTAGTAACAACACGAGCCAAGTATTTGGTGGCGGTCAATCCACGAGTCAGAATATTAGCGGCGTGCAGAGCGTCGGCGTTAGTAGTAGTAGTAGCAGCGGCGGCGGCGGTGGTGGTGGTGGTGGTAGTGGCGTTATTTACTCTCGTAATATTAGCCCGGCGAACGTAGTAGGTAGTTCCGTGTCCAATGCGGAATGTTTGTACGGTCCGGTGCTCAAGTTCCGCGCGCAGAACGCCCAACCGCAGTTGGCCGTAGCCGCGACCGCGACCGCGACCGCGGGCGAGTTGAAGCCCGTCGGCGCGGCAGTCGGAAATTACGGTCAAGCCGGCAGAGGCAATCTGGTGGCGCAGAGTCTGCAGTCGCAGCCGATGTATGCGCAGAATTATCCGCACCAGCAGATCTACTCGAACATCGCCCAGCCGGGACAGCAGCCCATGTATCTGCTGCAAATGCAGCACGCGCAGAATATCACGCGGCAGAACGCGGCCGTGCCCCAGGCGGTGTCCTACGCGGCGATACAGCACACTAATCAGCAGCAGTCCCAGCTGAGCGGCGCCAGTCCCATTTACACGGCCCACGCCGCGTCCGTGTCGGTGGTCCAAGCTCAGAAGGTGCACATGCCGAATTACGCTCACCAACCGCAGCCCGGGATCAGCGGCGGTCAAGCGGCCGCGACTGCTCAAGCGACCGGCGCTTCGAATCAATCGGCGAGCATTGGGATAATGCAAGCTTCCTCCTCCGTTCCATCGCACTTCGTCATGTCGTCCTCGGCGACCCAACAGGGCGTCCATTCGATCCCGTACATGGTAGACCAACCACAGCAACCGAGTTCCCTCGGCTCGATCGATTATACTCACGTTAACGTCGGCAACGTAATGACGAGTATGAATACCGGTGCGCACCAACAGCAAGCGGTGGCGCAACCGCAGATGGCCGGCGGCGTCGCCGCGAAGGCGGCGATTATATCGCAAGTCGCGACCGGCGTCGCCAAGATCACCACCTTCGTGACCACGCAAAAGCAGGACGAGCAGTTGACGAGCTCGACCGACGGCACGCTCTCCGGCTCTTTGATCTCTTCCGCTGTCAGCGACAGCACCGTGTCGTCTAGCAGCTCGATGACAGAGGAGGCACAACAAGATCAGGTTTGACCATGCCTCCTAGGAATGTGACAAAACGCATCTTCTATATATATATATATATACATATACATTTGCCACGCCACGTCTTGTTTTGGTTTTTTTTTATCTGGTCCGCAACACTTTCGCATCCGCACTACACCTCAGTTGCAAGTCAGATGTATATTTATATTACGCGCTTCTCTGGTGTATGCAAGATATATATATATACGTACGCACTGGCTCACAAACGGATCTTCTACTTTGTTGCAATGCGATCGGAGAGACTTCCTATGTTTTTTTTTTTCTTAGCAGAAATCTCTTGACTCACCGTTCAGTAGGCTAATAATTTCTGCATGAAGAATGGATGTCACTGATGAATGAATTGCTACCAGTAATATCATTTAAACTGCATGTAGCGAGTACACGCGAATGCACTACTCCTCTGTTTTAAATTTATTTTATATCTATCGAGAAATATGCGTCTCTTTAATTTTTCCTGTACATATTTATACGTGTATATTATCGAGATAGGAATGCAATGTAAAAATCCTTTACGAGATTCATCCCCAATTTTATAACATTAGAAAAGTAAAAAGAAACTGGGTGATACAAAGGCTAATAAAACGAGCAATAAGAGATATTGTAATATACGATAATCATATAATTCAATAAAATTATAGCGGGCCGTTTCGACTTTACTCTAAGTCTTTTTCAGCCACAAATATTGCATTAAGTTATATGATTATCGTATATAACGATATCTCTTATTGCTCGTTTTATTGGCCTTTGTATCCTCTAGTTTCTTTTTATTTCTAAGTACGAGCCAATATACAATTTTGCCATTAAAGAGTATTTATAAATGTACTAAAATAAAAAAAAAACAAATCACACATCTAACGTAATATCATTTTCACTGTTTTAGAGAAACGTACATTCGCAACTGTTCGACAGCATGATTGACAATTTCAACAGCGGCATTGACGACGAGCAGAAGCTACTGGAGCAACGGTTGTTGGAACAACAACGACAGTCCGAAGAGGATAGCCGCTGGCTCGCTAGAGAAGAGGTGTGTTTAAAAAACCCTTCATTTCCTTCAGTAATGTTTTATAAACCTCTTGTAGGTTTATAAGATGCAGTAACATCATTTATTTAAGATACTTTATTGGTGTCAGTATATTAAAAATTAATGATCAATTTAATAATAGAAATATATTATTAATATTATTAGAGAAATAAATATTATTAGAGATAAAGTCCGTCGATGACCGTTCTGTCTTTATTTATCTTGTGTTACACACTTTATTGGTCTAGACTGATTGATCTTACTGATTCATGTTTTTCATTATGACAGAAACGCTTATCGATTGCTACGAGTGGTGATGAAAGTGCTAGTCCCCCGATTCCACGATCGGTTACTCAATCACCGAGCCACGAGCCGCATTCTGCCAATACTGGCTCCCTCGGCTCGGACAAGAGTTCTGATAAAGTAATTGTAGTAAAGGTAAGCGCACTCGCGTAATGATTTTATCAAATTATTTCATCAATTGTTACAAATTACTCGTTACGAAAAATAAATAAAAATAAATATTCATGAATTTTTTTTTCAGAAGATGGAACCTACTCCCACGGCAGATTTAGACAGAACTAACGATAAAGTATACGATTGCACGACAAGCGTCGTTCGTGCAGTTATGTCATTATCGCAAGGTAAGAATGTGCACTAATTGGAAAAAAATATACATTAAATATATATATGTTACCATCAAAACCCGTAATCGTTAAAAACCGATTTCACTAGTTAAAACTAGTTTTTAATTTAATTGAAAGGGTCTATAATTGTACTGTTTCACATGAGTTTTCGACTTTCCACGCATAGCGAGGACCAAGTCTCTGTCTCTCCCTCTCCCCTCTCCCTCTATTTACGAGGCGAAACGAGATCTATAATTGTACTGTCCACATACACGGAAAGAATTTTATTTTAAAATTTACTCTGAATCGTGTTAATCGTAGGACAACATAGTATTTCGATTAATTTTATATGATTTTCACTATTTTTTTAAATACCTATTACAACAAATTTATTGTAATGAACAGCAAAATTTATTGCAGTGTATAGTAAAATTTGTCGAAATACCATGTTGTCCCACGATTAACAAAATTTTCAGGATAAATTTTAAAAGGAAATTCTCTCTGTGTAGGTTTTCGTCTAATCAATCATTCTAGTTTTAACTGGTGAATTCGAATTATGAATTTTGATAGTAACACGCGCGCGCGCGCACCACACACGCACGCACACACACACACACACACACACACACACACACACATATATATATATATAGT